GAAATTATGTGGTAAAGAGTTGTTAAATTGTTTACGATCTAAAAAAACCGATTTCATAAGGAGCATTTAGATCGAAGATAAAGAAACATAAATTAGACGAATGCAAATTTTTGAAAAAGTCCTTGGCCCAGAGAAGAGCTATCTTCGAGGATTTCTTCTTACCTTTTTCGTAATCTGATCGCCGATCTGTCGCTCTTGAACTTGATCTTTGACTACTTTATGCCCCTCTTTAACATCGATCCCAGAGACTCAATAAATATAGTAGTCTACGTGGGCAGTTGGAATTTATTCGCTGGCACGAAAGGGTCGTTAACCAAGTAAAACGTGCTTCGGGCATCGTTTCCATAGAGAAACATGAACAGCTAAAGAGCGAAAGAGATAAAAAGAGAGGACGGAGAATCGACGACTTTGGCTCCTTGAAAAATAATGAAACACGTTGTAATGTCCCTGTTAAATGTTGTTCCGTTGGATCTCCATGATGTCCTCAACTTCCTAGGAACGATTTCTTCGCTTGACGTTCTTCGCTTTAGGGTTGCACAAGTTTGTTGCTTTTACCACAAGAAAAATTACAATCTAAAGTATCTTGTGTAAATTTTATCGCTGATAATTTCTTATAAGATATCTTTGAAAATAATATAATCTTTCTTTTCTTACTGTTTTTTAACGTAAAAATAATCTTTTTCATCAATTTATATCCTATATAAATTTTTTGCAAAGAATATTTGCATTTTTCATAAATGGACAATCATCTCTCTGAAAAAAAAAAATTAATTAGTATTAATTCAGAATGCATTGGATAACTCTAACAATTAATTACTATCCTCCTTTTAAGATTCTTTTTGCAACGCGAGACGGTATAATAGCATCGTTGCGAAATTTACGCAAATGATACACGCAATCCTCGTTCGTCTTTTTTCTTCTTAATTTTCATCACGTCTCGTGGATGCATGCTGCATCACAAGAATTACTCGGGCTTAGAAGTTACTCTGGTTTGACGATATTTTCCGATTATAGAGCTCGAATTGAAGAGAAGGAAGTTTCAGAAGTAAATAGACTCTGTAAAAGGAAACAGTGAACGTGAGACATGTGAGCACTTGTAAAAGAAATAAAAAAATATACAAGGAAGAGGAATAAAGGACTAAAAACCCAGGTACGAACAACAGGTTTCTTTTTCACAAGAAACAGCACTCCGGGGTTCATGGACAACGATCTGGAGTTGATAAAAGGTTCAACCGCTTCTTTCCTCATCCTTTGTACGCCGCTTTTGGTTGTTCTGAGTCCGCTTCATGAGACGCTTTTTAACAACCACGTGTTCCGTTACGAATATTACCATGCAAAGATTCCAAGATGCAGAAAGAAGATGCAATTCTTTGAATTCCAATGGCCTTGTACTTGGGACATAGAATGCATCGAATCATTGAATTAGTTATTATCACATTAATTTCAATGTAGAAATTGAAATGATAAATCTATTTTATTGAAATCAATGACAATGTAACATGAATATCAATAGTACGTCAAATAAATTCGTCAAATAATACAAATAAATTCGCAATCTGTTTTAAATCATGTTTTAAATCATGATCGATTTGCAAATCATTAATTATTGTTTCATCGTATTCATCGTGTAGAAATCTTATTTGAGATATGATCAACTGCTTCTCAAGGAAATAGCCTTTCTTTTTCGACCTTCCTTGTTCCTATATGAGATCTCTTGGAGATCGAAATCAAAAGGATTCTATTTGTCAACACAAAATGGAAATTTAAGAATGTTTGATACTTACCGGAAATATTGTGGCCTGACGAGTGAAAGAAAGAAAAAAAATATAAAAGATGATTCATTGTTAAAGGATAAACTTCGTGATATTCGTTTTGTTTTGCGTTTCTTCGTTACGTCACACAATCCGCCGATTTTACGTAATTTTTCAGACTCGAGCATTCGGACATAATAAAAGGTTACTTCCGTTACTATCGCATTAGAGACAGCAAAACCATTTTCATTGTCAGATTGTCTGTTAGAATAGAAGAAATATAAATAATTGTCTAAAAAAAAAAAGAATAAATTGTGTAATACTTGGTAATTTGTCTAGAAATACAATAATTCATTGTATAAAAAATGCTATTTGTTTTCTTTTCATTTTAGTTGAAATTTAAAGACGAAAGAAATTAATTGATCATTTGCTGTATAATTAATAATTATGTTACATTTGTATAATTAATAATTAAATCTCATTTGAAATAGAACTAATCAAAATTTGTTTTTTGAAAAGTGAAGTATTTGTGCTTTGATATTAAAGTTAAATAATTTTTAATGAATTTTTAAATTCAAACCAGAATTTTATGAAAATATATTTTAATATTTTTGTTAATTACGTTGAAACGGAATTTCCAGAATATCTAGTTTAAAGATTTTAGATTAAGTTTAGAAGAGTTTAAGATTGTCTAAACTTTCTTTTATGTATGTGGTACACTATAGCCATCTAGTGGTGAATTACTAGAACTAATTATCTGAAAATTACGACTAAAGGATATTGTGGCGCCATCTAATGATAAAAAGTGGAACTAAAATTAAAAATGTACTTTTATCAATTTTTATTTTATTTTTTTAAGATTCAAATTAAAACTTAAATTAAAAAATAATTTATTAAATTATATATAAGATAATTATATATATATTAAATTATATATAAGATAATTTATAAGATTGATTTCATTGGAATATATTTTTATTTATTTATTAGATAGATAGAAAATAAAAACTGAAAATTATTCATTAATTAATTACTAAACAACTTATAATTAAATAAAAATAAATATTTAAATAAAATAATTTTCAAATCATTTTTTAGAGAGTAATTTGAATTTTCAGAAATTAAAAAATTTATTTAATTCTTTAAAATCAAAAAATTTTTCAATTTTAGTTTGTCCTATTTGCGTTAAGATGGCGCCACAATGTCCTTTTCTTTATAATTTTAGTTCCATGCTTTCACCGCTTGCGTTTAGATGGCGCCACAATGTCCTTTTCTTTATAATTTTAGTTCCGTGTTTTCACCGCTAGATGGTTATAGTGTCGCATGTCACTAAACGTGAAAGAGTTATTTATTACTTCGATCTAATTTTAAATTATTTTTTAAAGTCTAACATATATTTTTATAGTATTTCAATTAATATTAATTAGATAATTATGAATATTAATAGAACAAATTTTTTTTAAGAATTACATACAAATTTACATACATACAAACAAATTTCTCTATTTGTTTTTCTTTCGTTTTCTTCTTTTTTTTTTAAATATATTTAAAATTTTAAATATATTTTTTCAAAAAACTATTTTTTTTTTCATTTATTCATATGACATACATAACATTTAAATTAAATATATAAATGCAAACTTTTAAATAAATGCAAATTTAAGAGTTTGTGTTAAACATTCAAATTCTTATATGTTGTTGATATTTGTAACATTATTATAACAGAAAAATACGGATGACATCAGCATATTTTTCTAATTTTCTAATTTATCCAATAGATTTACTATTATTTTATATTCCTATTAAGAAAATTAATCGATATTATAATTTGATTTTAATAACATTATTATTTTTATTTTCATCTGTGTTTCTTATCTAATTCCTTTAATTCTAATCTTATTAATGTTATTATTAGTGGACATGTTTTAAAAAAATTATGATTTAGTAAAAGTAAATAATAATACTTGTTGTGGAAATGTTTTGAATTCTATTTTTTAATGTAAAATTTTATAAATACTCAATTAATTAGAAACTTTTACTAACTGAAAGTCGTCGCCTATCTAACAGCGCAACGTCTGAATATCATCAAATTAGAATTAGCATATAAAATATTGCTTAATACAATACTGGTATTGCAACTTTCAATCGTCTATATATGAGCAAAATATTATTTTTTACAATATTTCAAAGTAAAATAAAATAAATATGCCGAATGTCATTGTTGAAGTATATTGCAATATCGCTGTTTTGATTGAACAATTTTGAACATTGAATCACATATTATTCTTTAAAATTAAAAGTAAATTATATGAAAATCCCATTGTAAATTTTCCAACTATTTTTTTTTTTTTGTTTTGACAACTATGTTCGAAAATTATAATTTTACTTCGTTAGCGAAATTCACATTGATCGTCTAGAATCATTTTAGCACGTTAGAAGAGATAAATTGTAAATAATCAAATTCTCCAGAAAATTTTCCATTTGGTCCTGGATTAAATCATTTTTTAAATTCAATATTGTAGTATCAATAAATCTCAATAAACATACCGTTGTCAAAAATATTTTCATACAAGTGAAAATGAAATAACGAATAAAAATAATTATTCGTTATTTTAGAAAATTTTGTGTTTTTCATTCGTTAGTCGATTGCAATCGAATTTCTCTATTATTTCTGAGAATAGCTCTTTTATTGATTAAACTTAAATGACTTATTATTAAAATTTTCCAATCATTGAATTTTTTTATATGATACCTGATGATTGTCTTTACTAGTATTTTATTTTATAATACTAACTGAATAATACTGAAATAAAAGATTATTGAAATATTATTAATTACACTATTTATATCTTTGGAGCGATTGGTTCAATTTCTATTTGCATGTTTAATCTATGAATGATAAGTATTTTTAAAACGCCTAATTATTTTTGTAAATAACGAGGAATACAAACATAGTCTAAGGCAATGAGCAAACAAGTAGACACGTATAAGTCTAAATCAAACGAAACAGTAACACTAGAAAATTAACGAGATAGAGCAACTGAAAATTTTCATGTCTAATCAATCAAAACGATAAATAATACATCGCATTACTAAGTGATAATGTAAAGTGTTTTCTAAAAATATAAAAATAATATTAAACTGATCAAATATAATAAATTATGATTTATATTTTCTTTACATAGGTGTAAAAATAATCGCAAATCATTTTGTTTGCAATTCTCTTGAAGAGTTAATATTATACTCAAATTTCAATTATTAGTCATTGTATAAGTAAGTAACATATATCGTGATATTTTTAAAAATGCTATCTGGTTTAAACTTTTATCGATCATTTTAGAGATATACACTTTCATTTCGAAAATATTGTTTTTACAACAAGACAATTAACAATAGGACGATATTGAAAGCTTATCGTTAAACACGTCAAGTAAAAACTAGTAAAATACAATTTTTATTTTTAGTATTATGAACATGTACATTGAATGCTCAAGTCGCGAATGTAATCCATCAATTTTTCTCTCTTTTCGACGTTATTTTTCAATAAAACGTCAATATGAGAATAGATTTATTGCCTTCCGTGAAAAATGATCTTGTTCGCGATGTTTGAACACTTGTATTCAAACAAATAATTACGCCGCGTTTTACATATTCCGCTATTCTTTAATATTCATTAGTGCGGATAAAACTAACACGATTGCAATTTTTTTCATACTCTTTACATTCTTTTCTATCGTGTTCAACCATATTTTTCACTTACACCATCGAGTTCTTCGATTCGAAATGAAAAAAATTTCATGGCAAATTTTCATCAAACAACAATAATTTCTGATTTACTTTCACGGATTCATCGTTACGCTTGCTCCGTTAACATGCAAAACACATAGTCGTTCAAGACCACGCGACGTCCTTGTAATTACAGTCATGTACACGATGTTCGGCATACGACGATAAGAATTTCAACCATTCTCTTGGAACAAGAAGTTCACCGTTAAAAAGGATTCGAATGAGAAAGAAAAGTGTAGCGGAACGTATACGTCGTCGAAGCAATTGACACATTCCACGATAATCCACCAAAGGAATCCCGTGCTGGAACAATCGAGCATCCGTGGTGAGTCCGTTGTTTCTAACAAACACGCTGTGCTTTTGTTTCTGTATAAAATGCACATCGATACACTTTTCATAAACATTTATTCATTATTGGCGCGTTACGTTACGAGCGTAATTGTAGAGGCATAGTCACGCCAAGTGTCATAATCACTTTTATCGTTCGTGCAAATTTTTCTTATTTTAAGATTAAAAATTGATGCAGGTCAACGATGCAATCTTTTTGAGACTTCGCATCTAATGATACAGATGAAATTAACACAGTGCGAAATGATACGAGATGAGATTTGACGCAGTGTGAAATCATCGTAGTGCAAAATTGTTATCTAAAATTGTGATATCAATTTTTTTAATCTAAATCTTACCTTTTTAATAATAATAAATGATACATATTACAATTATTAAGTTAAAAATACAAGACTATGCACGAATTTTTATTTAATCTATAATGCGAAGAATAGAATTCCTAACAATGAAAAATTTATATGATTATTCTATATTAATACGTGTTTAAAAATCTAAAAATTGTAAGATTATATTGTTGATCATACTTAATTCTATTCCATAAACAAAATACATATAATGACAGCAACTTGTTGCTCGATTCATTCGTATCTATTATCAAACGAAATATAATTAATAAAAGAAATAAACAAAAATTGCAACATGTTCCCTACAATTTTAACTTTACTAATTAGTTAAAGAACGAAATAATAATGAACATAATGATATGAAATATGAAAAGACAGGATGCGAGAAATGTGTAGGTCAAGGTATAAGATAAAAAACGTTAAATGAATCAGTAGAATCGAAAATGTTGAAAATTTGTATACGAGTCGGTTGAAAAAAAGATTCGGTTGTTGTTCGGTTAATTAACGAACATAATAATCTTGCCGAACCCAGTATCCATTTAGGGAAGGACTGACGCATGCGTTCGCATCCTGACATTTCAAAGAGTAGTGGGGAAACGAGGCACGTGTGAAACAGCTGTAGATTTAATCAGTGTACAGAGCAGGTACGAGGTACCGCATCAATCGTTAATCTTCTTTCGTCCAACAAACGTTTCGTCCACCGATATTTCTTCATTTCTTCATCGTGATTCCTTCGGGTCCTCGTTGCGTTGGTTCACAAACTGGTTCATCGCGGTTACTCCTTGCGATAACTTTCTTCGTGACAGATGAAAGTGAAACTGGAATTTGAAAACTGTTATAATGAACGGTACAGTGAGATATTAACGTACGATTTCCGCGATAACTGTCGAGAAGGAAAACTGGAAAATCACGTGCTCAAACGATCACACGTGACCACCACTCAGTTAGTGACGTTAAATCGTGTTCTCGCGCGTAAAATCACTTACTAATTGTCGCTCGAAAAATTCGTTAATTGCCCGCTTGTTGTTTCATCGGAGAGACATTGAAACGACGATTGCGATGCCAGTTAATGAGGCGATGCAGCTCGCATATTAAGAGGACAGGCCGATGAATTATGACGATCTGCCGATTGAAACTTGAAATCGAAGTTCTTCCTTCGTTCAAATCATTGGATCGTGTTATATTTTCAGAATTTCAAGTTGACACGATGTGCTGAAACTGTCGAAAAAGAGGATTCGTTAGTGAAGGTGGAAGAAATTTTAGTGAAATGACCGGGTTTAGCTTTAAAAAGTTATTGAAGGAGAAAATTCCTATCTTAAAATGGTTACCGCTGTACAAAACGAAGGACGCATTGGGTGACCTGGTTGCGGGATTGACAGTAGGTCTGACCCTGATACCACAGGTATTTTCCTAGATTCACGATTTTATATCCGTGAAATTGAATGTTATCAATTCGATGATCCAATTCGATCGGATCAATTGCATTCGATGCAATTTGTAATTTCAGGCGATCGCATACGCTGGGCTGGCAGGTTTGACGCCGCAATATGGCCTTTACAGCGCGTTTGCTGGCAGTTTCGTTTACATAATTTTTGGTACCTGTCGAGAAGTCAATATTGGACCGACTGCATTGATCTCTTTGCTAACGTACACATACGCGAGGTAAGCCGTTAGAAGTTTCTCGCGAAAACACGATTCCTTTAGATTTTATTTAAGACTCGAAGACTTGTGAATAGAGTAGCCTTAATCTGCTCGTACAGTGGTTAAATTCGCGAACATCATAGCGGACAATTGGATCTCGTAATACGATAATGACAGTTGAAAAGATGTTGCCACTCTTTTGAAACTCAATTATCGCGAGAATATATTGTGTATTAATTTGCGCAATTCTTTCTTTAGTCTTCTTTAGTCTCTTCTTTGAAGACTTCTCTTCCAAGAACCATCTACTTCTAATATTTTTTATCACACTAATAATAGTCAAAAATACTCTTGGCTTTTGAACGAACGAATCAAAAGCCTCGTTCGATCATTCGTTATCCTTGATTCCGGAAACATATGGTCAAATTACTTCTTTCCGTTCCCAATGTCTAACTCCTCTTTTCATTTCGATCGTGTTCCAGGGGTATTCCAGATTACGCAATCCTCTTGTGTTTTTTATCAGGATGCGTCACGATAGTTTTTGGAATTCTTCGGCTGGGTTTCCTTGTCGAGTTCGTTTCCATACCGGTCGTCTCTGGATTCACGTCTGCGGCAAGCTTAATTATCGCCTGCAGTCAAATAAAAAGTTTGCTGGGTATAAAAATACACGGGGAAAGTTTCGTTGAGATTTGGCTGGAATTGGCAAACAATATCCATCGAACCAGAATCCCTGACCTGATCTTGTCTTGTTGCTGCATTCTAATTCTATTGACCTTGAAGGTAATTCACCATGAACGCTATCGTTCAGCAAAACTAGTTCTTATGCGCCGTGAATACGTAAGAATACGTAAGAAATACGTAAGAAAGGAAAAAAAAAAGATAGAAAACCAAGCGAGAAAAAAGAGATAGAATACGTACGTTATTTTTTTCTTTTTTTTTTTTTTTGTATTTTCCTCTTGTTTCAGAAACTCAAGGACATCAAAGTCTCGAATGGAATATTAAGAAAATTGATCTGGTTCGTGGGAACTGGCAGGAATGCTCTTGTGGTGATTTTGTGCGCTGTCGCATCGTACGTGTTTGAAAATCACGGCAAAGCGCCTTTCGTTCTTACAGGCCACATCGATGCCGGCCTACCCACCATCGCTCCACCATCATTCTCGATCACTGTTGGAAATCGAACCGAAACTTTCGTTGAAATCTGCAAAAATTTGGGTTCCGGTATAGTGATCGTTCCATTGATCTCGATCATCGGAAACGTAGCCATTGCGAAAGCATTTTGTAAGTTTTCAAACGGATATTTGATTTCCCAATAAAATTGACATTTCGTTCGATCTTTTTTTCCTCTAAAACGTTAATTGGCTTTTCAAAGCGCGAGGACAATCGCTCGACGCCACTCAGGAAATGTTAACTTTGGGTCTATGTAACGTTGCTGGCTCGTTTTTCCATTCCATGCCAGTGACAGGCTCCTTTTCCAGAAGCGCCGTGAACAATGCTTCCGGCGTGAGAACACCCTTGGGTGGTATTTACACAGGTAAATCTCGCAAAATGTCTACGATTGGAAAGATAACAGGAGAAAATGGAAGAAGGAAAAAAATTGAAAATTTATGGAAATCGATTACATTCGCCATAGGTATTCTAGTCATTCTTGCTCTGAGCTTACTCACGCCGTACTTCTATTATATTCCAAGAGCGACTTTAAGCTCCGTGATAGTCTGTGCGGTGATATTCATGATCGAGGTAAAAATGATACGGCCACTTTGGAAATGCAGCAGTGAGTAGAAAAAAAAATAAAATTGATGATTGAAAAAAATATGATAAATAAATAAAATACGATGAAGTGTTTCAAACGTGATGTATGTATATATATATATATATATATGAAATCTCATTATAGGATTTCATAGATCATTCGAAGAATGTTAATGATATGCCATATATCTAATCACTTCGAAAGAATCTAATTCAAAAATATGATTCCAGAACGAGATTTAATCCCGACATTTATAACATTCTTCGCATGTTTGTTCGCCGGAGTTGAATTAGGAATTTTAATAGGGGTAGCAATTGATCTGGCAATATTAGTTTATTTCAATGCCAGGCCGACAATATATATCGAATACAGAAATGTAAGTACATAACAATATTGACAAAGATTCGAGAAAGAGATTGCTATTGTTTTAAAAATATCCTCATTTTTTACCGCAGACTTCTACGTTAAGTTACATCCTCGTGCGTCCCAGCGCCGGATTACTCTTCCCAGCGGTGGACTACCTAAGGATATATCTGTTAGAGAACTTAGCTAAGGATCATCAAAAATTACTGAAAACTTTCAAGAACACGAAAATCGTCGTTCTAGATTGCAAGCACATCGATAAAATTGATTTCACTGCGGCGCGTGTATGGATAATAATCTTAAGTAGCTGATTTCGAATTTGGCCTGGATTTTACTTCTTCGAGCCTTTTCCTATCCTCTCTTCTACGTTCATGTTACAAAGATAATTTTTTTCTTTTCCTTTTGTCGTGTTTACAGAGAAAATAGCGTAATAGTGGTAATTTTTATTATTACGATGGTAACAAAGAAAAAAATATAACTCGATTGCTCAACAATCGCTCAAAGATGTAAGATCTAGGACAGATTTGAACACATTTAAATTTGTTCAAATTCTTCCATTTGTAACATTTACAGGGATTAAATATGGTTATGAGAGATTTCAAAGAAAAGAATCATTGCTTGATCATGTTACAACCCTCCAAGGAAGTTTTACGAAGTATTCAATCGCTCTCCAAAGAAACGATTGAAGTGATTAATACCGATACCGAGCTCGTAACTGCTTTGAAAGAATTGAACACGACCAAAGCGATCAAAAAAATTGGTACGGAGATAATAGATATGTCGAATGGGACAACTACCAATGATGTGAGAAATGAACTTACGAGTACGAAGCTTTGAAATCAACTATGAATTTACAGAACAAAAATTTGAACGAGATATCAAGAATTAGATGTTCAAAAAAATATTTAAAATTTCTATAGATTTCTTTTTTTTTTTTTTTATTTCTCCTTTTTCTAATTTTTCCCTTTTTTTTCTTTTCTTCTTTTTTTATATATATATATATAATATCTGAATTGAGTTGTATTAGACTATCAACGATATTGTATAAAATCGTAATGAACATTAACGCATGTTTATGATGTACATATGAATCGTATGATAATTCGTACATTTTTTAAACTTTTTATAAAGATATATGAATCGACCAGCAATGATATTGTTTATCAGAAATTACTTTTTTTTTTATCTGTTTCAAAGAGATTCTATTGACACGTGCATTTCATAATACAGATGAAAGAATAATACTGTGGTTATAAATGCATATCAGAATATGTCGAAGGATTATAATATATATTTTTATATATATATATATATATATAACATCTACCAAATATGGCAAGTTTACGTTTTATTTTGTAAAAACTTGTAAGTCCTCGAAAAATAAACTATATGATATTTCTTAACAATATAAGTAATATTTAAACAAAAATATATATATTATATAAAACTCTTTGCCTTCAAATGACACAGAAAAAAACGACGAAGTAAAAAAACTATGAATCGATATTAGGTCGTGAAAATTAAATTATTTAACATTGTAATCAATTAAAGTCTAAATCATCATTATAACTATTATTGTATACGTATACGGAATTTAATTTAATAGAAAAATAAAGAAATAAAATTGTTTATAATGTGAACTAAATACTAAACAGTCATAATACTTTCGATAGTAGGAACATAAAAAGTATTTTGCAAATTTGCATTTCTAATTACATATCGTGTATCATCTTTTCGTATTAATTACACGATATGAAGCGCCTAGTAAAAAGCGCTTAATTATTTTTTTTAAAAGTACATAGAATCCAAGTATAACGAGTAACATCAATGTCTAGTAATAATGATGAATATAAATATTTGAAGAAAATCTAGAAAATAGATTTGCTACTTTCACACTGTTACGATAGGAAACAAGACGAACTGTCGCATAATATTTCTGACAAATGGCAGTATCATATAAACTTCTTTTAAAGCTTCTCAACTTGAAAACTATTTTCTAGTAGTGCGTGACATCTAATATGACGTATGTGATATTATATCTAGATTAATTAAAAAACTGACTTTTACGATATACATATACATATATGAATATAACGATGATACAAACAAGATGAAAAATTGTAAGGTAAATGTGCAACCATTTTTTGTACCGTTTAATTGCAATTATCTATTGAAAAAAAAGAAATAAATATATATGCATTTTTCGCCATTTTTCTAGGCTTACTGATCCATCGTTTTGCGCATACCACGTCCGATATTTATCCTGGATGAAAGTTCTTTTGGTGATACATGATAAGCTGTATTCTTTTGAAAATGAGGAATATAATGTTGGGTATTAACAGTATGCATGTTGTAAGTTACAGGTTTTATATCCGATCGTATGGATGAATTCTGAATAGTATCAGTCTTCCGTGGATAATTAACTCCATAATACATACATTCTCTTGGTGATACCATAGGTGGTACACATTCTGAGTCGTTTTTCGATACGTCATCTTTCCTATTATCCTGATTATTATTAAATACAGGACAAGTTTCTGGAATTCTTTGATAACCAGTAGCAAGAGGACGTGGTGCATATTTCTGATTCATTTGCATGTGCATATTTGATGAACCATTCCTCGTAACGGGATCCATCGTGATCGCATATGAAAACGGTACCATTAATTGATTATCTTGAGAACAATTTTGATATTCATTTGGCACAGATGTTCGATATTGACTAGTTCTCATATGAACGTCCATAGTATTATCTTTCATCCTGATGTTATTCGTTTTACAATTTTGCATATTTCCCATATAATTATCAAGTTTTACAGGAACAGAAAAATTTGGAGTATTTTCCAAAGGTTGCATCTGTTGAAAATGTTTATACAAGTTGTTTTGCATAGACGTCGATACGGGACAATTAACAGAGTCTGTCAAGTTATTTGCTGATAATACTTGATTGGGAAATGTATTGCAATTACTGTACGGAGGACTTTGGAATAAAGGTGCCGGATATTGCAATAATGGATTCCAACTTTGCATACACATTGGTGGAACGTAAAATAACGGATGTTGTAAATAACTTGTTTGTTGCATGTTACTGAAATCCGCGTTACACATATGTCTGGAATTTTGAATAGGGATATTCACAGAATGTCCAGGATTCATCATATTTCCAAAAAGAAACATATCCGGAAGTGGCAAATTCCATTGATTATGTTGTGTAGTTATAGGATGATTATGAAAACCTGGTGGTGGTAGAACTGATGTTTGAGTATTATGCATCAAAATATTAGAAGGATCAGTTTGCAAGATATTCTGATTTTCTACGGTGTAAGAAGAAGTGCTTGGAATTAATGCATTTTGAGAGATAATTGTACTATCAGCTGTTTTCCTTGGTATAGTTTGCGTATTATTGTATTGATTTATATAGACACTAGGCATGTTTTGATAAGATATACCATTTGCCATAGCAATAGCTGGATTGGAATTATTGTGCGGTAATATATTTTGTGGTGACACATGGGAAGTTTGTTCTGATTTTTGATGCACTAAATCCATCAGATGTAAATCTCGTTCGGAATTTTGAGTACTGGGGCTAGAATTATTATATTGAGCATTATTATTATCGAAATAACTCTTATTTTGTATATTTTGATGATTTTCAATTTGTTGAGCATTATTTGTATGTGATGCAGTTTGTAAATCAGAATAAAATGAATTTGTTGAAAGCTTATTTTGATGTATAGAATTATCAGAATATGATATTGCAGAATGATGTGCCATATTAAATTCCTGAATGTTATCCAAAAATTTAACTGATTTTGTTTCAGAATTATTTGTTTTATTATTGCTATTATTATTACTAGTATTTTTTTGTTCAGTCTTCACAAATTGTACTTCAGTTTCATTACAAGAAGCTTGCGAAATCTGTAATTCTTGCGGTGTATGAATAGATGTATGTATAGTTGTACAATCTTTGGTACTATTCGAAAAAGAATTTAATGATTTTATAGACTGTACATTATTTACAGCAGTTGAATCTAATGCATCAGTCTTTATATTACTAGCACCGTTACTTGTGTTATGTGAGTATACAGATATTTTTGAGCTTTCAAATTGAGAATGCATTTTTTCTCCTGAACCAATACGATTTATTCTATAATCTTTTGTTAAATTACTATTCTCGATACTCTTTTTATGATCATCTGTTTTTGTTTTTCCATTTAAATCTTTAAAGCATGTCTGAAGAATACCTGAAGATCGTCTATAAACGTTAGTATCTTTCTTAAATTTCTGTGTATATCCTTGGTCATCTTTAATATTTCTTTCAGTATTATTCTTTGTATTAGAAAAATTTTGGTAATTTCGTTTGCATGATGCAGAACTTGATTTTACTGAACTTCTTTCATTTATATTGCATTCCATAACACTTGGATTCTTTACATTTTTTCCTGAAGTATTTTGATTGAATTGAGTATTACTAATTTGCTTATTTAATAAAGATTGTTGATTTTCATATTTCTTTCTTGATATATTTTCAGCTGAATTAGATATATTGATATTGTTAACACTAGATGAATTATCAATACATCCATTTTCTTCTGTCTTAGTTGTATTTTTTGAATATCGTTGCTGTGACTTTATTAAAGATTTATTTCTATTATATTGGATATTGTATGATTGAGTACGTGTTACTTGAACTTTATGACATCTTCTTGTATCATCTGCTTCATTAGTTTTCTTGTCTGGTTCATTTCTACTTGATTTTAATTTTGTTGTAACAGATTTATTTTTTTCATCTAATCCTTCTATGGAGGATTTGCTTCTATTAACGCTATCATTAAATGTAGAAAAATTTTGTTTAAAAAACTGTTGTTCCTTCATTCGAGCCCCTTTACTCATAATTAAGTTTTTATTATAACTGTTAATTTTACTATATTTATCAATAAGTTTAGGAGTTGTACCTAGAGCTACTTTTTTTGAATCCAGAGAAGTTGAAGTAATATTATGATCATTACATATATTCAATAAATCATCTTTAGATTTAGAACCCTGTTTTGAAGAAGTCCAAGATTCTTTTAAAGTATTACCTGTAAGAAAAATCATATTTTCTTAATGCAAATTGCAATTGTATTTTTTTTTTATTCAATTATAAATTAAAAATTAAAATTTAATTTATACCTGTCTGTTTTTTAATTTTTTGATCATTCAATTTTTTAACACTAGTCTTTGTTGTTTTTTGTATACTTGTTTTTGTTTCCAGTGGCGATTGGCTTTTAGATCTTTCATTATTATTATTGTTATCATGACACTGCTTTGAGCTAATTTGATTATCTACATTACTGTCTGACTTTGGTAAGTTAGGTATATTATGCTGACCATTATTCCTAATTATATAAATAATACAAATATGATATAAAATTAATTATTCTCTATATTAATCTATTACCTACCATTCATTATCTACTTCATTATGCAATTCCCCAGATTTATTTTTTTCCCCTTCATTAAGTCTAAATTGTTCTAATTGAACTGTAACAATATTCTCTGTCAAAGACATACTAATCATCTCTTGTTTATCTAGCCTTTCCATTACTAAAGACTGAGAATTTGGAAACAATGTACTGGTTATATTAACATCTTTATTCCAAACAGTTTCCATATCTTTTTGAGAACAATCAAAAATTTCAGAAGATGATTGATGTATATCTTTATTTATAGTATTATCGTTTTCATTTATGTCTTTATTTAAAATAGGATCAATCTTATCTAATTCAGGATTGTTTGAATGAGTGTTAGTTGAAACAACTTCAGTTTCTTCTTTTGTTCCTTCATTTATTTCACTTTTAGATGTATTATTTTCTGTTTCTTTCCCATCTGGAGGTGTTTTCATACTATAATATAAATAAAAAATAAAAAACATTAAGAAACATATTTTACAAATAACTATTAATATTACTAAATTTTCTTTAAATATAAAAATTTTTATTATTGATTAATATTAATTATATAAGGTTTACTATAACTAATAATATTAGTATAAATATTTATCAATATAATTAAATTTAATTAATTAAATGCATCTTACTTATATGTAAATATTATTAATTCATTAAAATTTCTTACAGTAAAAAGAATAATAATATAAATGATAAAAAAAATAAAAAAAATAAAGAAAATAAAAAATATATAAACGTACTGGCCTGATAATTGAGAATTACTTTTTAGCCACTGCATATTATGCATCTTGCCGATTAAAGCCATCTGCTCTATGTCAAATGATTTTTTTAAATCTTTATCAGCAGAATCCATTTTACCTATCATAAATTTAGTAAAAAAAACTAAATATAATTCCAAATAAAAAATAATATATTATTTAAAATTTTACATATTACAGGATACACATAAAAATGATATAGAAATAATACTTATAAATCTTATATATTAAATAATCAATAATTAATATTGTCAAATTAAGATAAACAACAATAGAAAAAATTAAAAGTAAAATTAATAATCATGAAACATTATGTACTACTTTCCATTAAAATTTTTTAGATCATTTTATAAAACAAAAATAAAATAAATATAAAAAAAACTCTTGATTAATTTGAATTTATATTATATGTTTTATGGTCTGTTAATATGAATAATAAAAACAATAATAAATAATAAATACATTTACGACGCAATTAAGAACGAATAAAAACGACATTCTTATGAATTTTCAACTCGAAAATAATTTTACACTTATTTATATAAGAATAATAAATTATCCAGTTACCGATATTTAATTTTCTGATGGCAATCAAAGAATTAAACTAGAATCTTTAACAGCAAGTTTTTCTTCCATTTAATTTGCAGAGATTAGAAGGAACAACCGACCACAGTAAAGGACGCCATAATACTGATAGGATAGGAGGATGCGCAAATGCAAATGATAGAAAAATTTTTAAAGTGAATAAGAAAAAAGTAATTTTTATACAACTTATTCATTGTACATCTTTTTCCCAAAAATATAACATTTGGTAATCTTAATACTAATAATATATATAAGAAATTTATTATATTAAAATTATGATAAGTTTTCGAAATTCAAATAATACCCCCCTTAAAGGACATTTCGAAACACTGGAAATTTATTGGTTGTAATTCGATGAAACAACAAACCTAACTTGTTCACTCTAAATTACCGACTGCAGTAGAAATGCAGTCCCTCTGTTGACAAATATGTGAACTGCACTTTCTCTCTAAACCATCACAAATGAAATGCCAATTCTTACATTTAGTTTATAGTAAGATCGTGTCCGGCGCGTATGTAACGTGTCATGAAACTAGAATATTATGTTTCGTATATAAATTTGCGCAATGAAATAATAAAAAATATATTATTAAACTATAATATTATTGTTAATTAATAATATATACTAGGTTATGCTTATTCTCATATGTGATCGATAATTCAGTGAAGAAAATGTGAATAAATATAATATTTTATAATAATTAATAGTGAGTCTAATAATACTTGTATTCAACGGAAGTATGTTATCACAGTTATTATACTATGGTATGTATTTTTCTTTTTTTTAATAAATTAAAATCATTAAATCATTCATTATTTTAAAACCGTGTAATATTTTTTTTAATACTTGATCTTTAATATGATTGCTGTCAATGAAAAGGGTCAAATAGTTATGTTCGTTTTAACGCTGATTGAATTAAATAATATAAAAAGAATATTGTGAAATATTGTATCGAAATAGTTCAATAATCACTGATACGTAAAATAACAAAAAAGAATACCTTCACTTATAGTAACCTTAAACGCCGGTGAAATTCAAATCATATATTTTATGTTTCGTTGAATAATTATGAAATATATATATTTATATACATATATATATATATATTGTTAATATATTTTAATATATCACTATATTAAATCAATCAGAATATTAAAGAATATTAAAAGAATATATAATTAAAATAAATTTTTAAGTTATAATTCTTTTTCAATAACTATTTTTTCTCGAATTTTTACAGAAAACTTTTATAATTTTTATATGTTCAAATAATTGTTTTTGCAAAAAATTTGCATTATCATACTTTTTATATTGCTGAAACGTTAATGTATATATTCTTGTTTTACGTGAAATAACAATTCATTTTATTGATTATATAAAAAGTAGCGAAGGCTAGTAGCGATTTTTATGTCATGATAAATTTTGCATTATATCTGACTATATAAACACTCGAAAGCCTTCGGTTTCTTTCAGTTTCTCGATATATCGTGAAATGTGAACATGTCATAAATTTAAATAGGTTTTAAATGAGTTTTTCTTATATGTATATTTTATGAAACTTATCACCATATTTTGTGCATTTAAAATATATTAGTGCGCGTAATTATCTATTATGTGTTTTATTGAAAATTAAGTTTTTCACGAAGTAAAAATTATAACTTTTAAAAATTATTTTTAGATTTACTTTATGTATAGATTATTTGGTTTTATATTTTTTTTAAAGGTACATAATTTACAATGGCTTTCAATGCAATAAATAACAAAAAATGGCAATCAAAAGGTGGACAATTAAATAAATTTATTAAAAAACGAATACCTATCGTGGGATGGTTATCAAATTATAATTCCGAAAAATTTTTGAATGATGCTATCGCTGGCATCACAGTCGGGCTTACTGTTATGCCGCAAGGACTTGCTTATGCTACCTTAGCTGGTTTAGAACCTCAGGTGAATTATATTTTTACGAACAAATTTTATTTCTTATTTTATTTTATTATTTTTTAACTTATTTTATTATCTTTTACGAATAAATTTATTTCCAAATTTATAGAAAATATATTTTTTCTATAGTATGGTCTTTATTCTGCATTTATGGGAGCTATGGTATATATAGTATTTGGTTCATGCAAAGATATTACAATTGGACCCACTGCTCTTATGGCATTAATGACTCATGAGTATGTTCAAGGTAGAAATGCGGATTTTGCAATATTATTAGCCTTTTTATGTGGTTGCTTACAACTATTAATGGCCTTTTTACGGCTAGGTAATGTTATTAATACAAATTTTTTAAAAATACTGTGTTGACACTTACTTGAAATTGCAAAATTCCTTTACAGGAGTACTTATAGATTTTATTTCAATACCAGTTACAGTTGGTTTTACTTCTGCAACATCCATTATAATTGTAGTTTCTCAATTGAAAGGTCTTTTAGGATTAAAAATTTCTTCACAAGGAACCTTAGATACTCTAACAAAAGTATTACAGAACATTCATCAGACTAGATTATGGGATACTTTGATGAGTTTCTCCTGTATCACTATTTTATTATTGTTTAGGGTAACATAAATGCATTTTCATTTATATTTTCTTTTTTTTAATTTTACTTGATTATATATAGTTAAATAGTTATAAATATATAAAATAAAATATCTCTACTGTTTAGAAAATGAAAGATATCAAGTTATATTCAAACAATGATAAACTAAATAAATATCAAAGAATATTGATGAAAATGATATGGTTATTATCAACAGCTAGAAATGCTGTTATTGTTATAATTTGTTCTACTATTGCCTACAAATTGAATTCTATTGAATATGGTTCTCCATTTATTCTTACTGGTCCTGTAAGATCTGGTCTTCCATCTTTTGGATTGCCACCTTTTTCTACTCAAGTAAAAAATGAGACTTTAAATTTCATTGAAATGTGTTCAGAATTGGGTGCGTCCATAGCATTAGTACCTATAATTGGAGTTCTTGGAAATGTGGCAATAGCAAAAGCCTTTGCAAATGGTGATAAAGTAGATGCCACTCAAGAATTGATTACATTAGGTATTTGTAATGTTCTTGGATCTTGCGCAAGTGCAATGCCAGTGACTGGCTCCTTTAGCAGATCTGCAGTAAATCATGCTAGTGGTGTAAAAACGCCAATGGGTGGTTTATACACTGGAATATTAATATTATTAGCATTGAGTCTATTTACTCCTTACTTTTACTTTATACCAAAGGGTAATATAATTTTTCTTTATTCTTCTCATATTTTAAATATTATCTTTAAATAGATATTATTTTCCTAGCTTCCTTATCTGCAGTTATTATCTCTGCAGTAATATACATGATTGAATATCAAGTTGTAAAACTCATATGGAAAACTAGTAAAAAAGATTTGATTCCAATGTTTGCTACTTTCTTATTCTGTTTAATTATTGGAGTTGAATATGGAATTTTAATAGGTGTAGGAACAAATCTTATATTCTTATTGTATCCTTCTGCACGTCCTACAATACATGTTGACAAATGTACAGTGAGTACTGAATGAAAAATCAATAACTTTTTGTTTCTTAACTTATATGAATTGTACATTTTAGACAACTTCTGGTGCTGACTATCTCTTAGTAACACCAGGAAACAGTTTATATTTTCCTGCTGTAGATTTTATTAAAAAGTCGGTCGGCAATGCCGGTATAAAACAAGGTTCTAGTCAAGTTCCAGTTGTAGTTGACTGCAGATATATTTTAGGAGCTGATTTTACTGCTGCAAAAGTAAATTTTTAAATAATTAAATATTACATAATAAAATATGATAAATATATACTATAATATAATTATTGCTTATAGGGTATAGCAACATTGATAAATGAATTTAACAATCGAAAACAAGGTCTGTATTTTTACAATCCGCGGTCGGATGTTATTGCTGTACTTAAAGGGGCTTGCGGAGAAGAATTTCAATACATTTCTACCGAAGATGAATTATTGTACTTACTATCGACGCATCAAGGTAATATAATATAAAATAAATATAATATAAAATAATATAACAATCAAAAGATGGCTAGTATTTTTCATCATTAAGTTTTTGATGGTATCCATTTATAATAGGATATTTATAATAGGATAGATCTCGTCATTACTTTATAATTCGTATATCCTATTCTTACGACTGTATGAAGATACTACAAGTAACCAGATCCGCATTCCTTTTAATTTTTCATCTCTATATTTAATTTAATATAAGTTAACATAAGTTATGCATATATATTTGTATCTTCTAATTGTTTTTTGCTTTTAGATAAAACATCGCAACAACTTTTGGAAATAACACGTGATAAATCACATGAACCACTAATGTTAAGTAGTCTTGAAATCATTCATCGAAACAATCGTTCATGTCAAGAACTTAATGAAGTTACAACTACATTGTTACATGCTACAGCTAGTTAAAAAATAAATAATTATCTATATTAAATTCATTTCAAACTTTTCGAAAAATGATTTTTATGAATATTTTTCATGAAAAATTGTATCTTTGAATTTTTTTTTTTATTTTTACACCTTTTTTTTAAATAATGGTGCACTTCATAGAACATTAAATAATTTCTAATATTATAGAATTAAATTTAAAAAATTGAAATTTATAACAAATTGTGCATGACATTAATTAAGATGTAAATATACGTAACTTTGTATACATAAATGAAATGTATTGTATTTCTTTTTTTTTTCTTCATATTTTCTAATTAAAAAATAAATAATATATTGTGTAAATATTTACGTTTTATATTATTTATGCACATCTATGTTTCATAAATTACAGTCTTTTTTTTTAACTCAATATAATTATAGAGGTATTCCTTATATATAAAAAAGAATATATTGCACAGTCCACACATAAAAAACTTTGCAATTGGTACATTTGTATAATTGGTCCATCACCAAAATATTTATCTATATCATATTAAAATATTTATCAATAGTGTTAATTACAATATAAATTAGATTATTAACTTCGCCCATAATACTTAATAACATTGCACTGAAATATTATATTCGTTCAAATTGAGATAAATTAAAAAAACTTAATTATATTATGTTTTAATTTCGATAGTTATATATATCGAATATAAAAAAAAAATATGAAATATTTTCAAAAATTAAAAAAAAAAGAAAAACATTTAGAATGATTTCTATACAAGAATATATTCTATTATATAGTATATACAATACCTCGTAGGCTATGAGGATATGAACAGGATCTAGATGATCTAATCCTAATTATTTAAAAATTACTTTTAATAAAGCCCTGAAACAATATCAGTAACTTTTGCACGATTTCCATTTGCAGAAGAAGCCGTGTTTCGTCTTCCAATTGGACTTTCTTTTATCTGTTGTTGATTTCCCGAATATTTTCCAGCATTAAATCGACTTTTTCCTAATCCAAATGTATCATAAGTTCGTCCAGCGAAAATCCCTGAATCCATTGATTTATTTAAAAATCTATTACCAATATTTTCATTTTGACTGAACGAATTGTGTCTCACTCCATTCTTTATTAGTATCATTGGAGTACAATCAAAATCTAATTCGTTGTTTTTATTTGAAGAGTTTAGCTTATTCCATTCTCGATTTCTTTGTTCTTCGTACAATTCATCACTTCTTAATTGCTTATTGCTTACACGTCCGGAATAAAATTCATCGTTTTTCAAATGTTTATTCTTTGATTCTTCTCTCCTCCCTTTGAATTCCAATTCGCAACAACTTTTTGATTCTTCTAATCTATTCGATTTCGATTTAACGAGTGTCCTTTCTTCTCGAGACTTCTTCTTGGATTGATATTTGTTCGAATTCCATTGATTTTTCTCTTCCATGATCACAATATCGATCATCGAATCCAGACCTTCATCAATTCTATCCAAAGATTTGGTTAATAGATTAGGAGATTTTGGTGCCTCAATGGATTTTGGTTTTCGCGTTATTAGAGGTTCAAGATTGTAATCTGTGACATAAAATAAACCACTGTCGCTTCCACCTTGCGAGGAACACTGGTCTTTTTTAGCGATATAAGATACATGGTGAAAGGATTCTGATCTGCGCATTCTATTCCTCGAATTCTCTTCTCCAAAGAATTGTTCTTGCTTGCTTAGATTTTCCGAGCTACCGTGTCTCTCATAACTCTGGAGACTTCGATGCTCGTCGAAGGAATTCAGACTCTCGAATTTCCTAATGTGACTTTCTATTCTGCTTTTATTAGATCTTTTCGATCGCGAACTGGAAGCGCTTGATTCGAGGTAATCGTGACTAGCCGATCTACGAAGAAGCTTTCTTTTTTCCACTTCGCTTCTGTATTTCGAATTATGTCTTTGGGATATACCATCCAATTGCCTGTTGTTCGATTTACAGTCATTCGTCGTTTTGTTTTTCGCATTGCACGATGTTTCATAATTCCTCGTTGTTTTCTTATCCTTTATTTCGCTTTCACCGAAACGTCGAAGATCGTTGAAACTTTTCTTCATCTTACCATCATTGTTATTCTCCGTTTCTTTCTTATCACACTGTTTTTGAAAATGATCGACCTCGGTTTTAATCCGTTCCTCGTAAGTCTGGTTCTTACTGTTGTACTTGAGTCGAGAAGCGCTAAGGAGAGAATCACTACCATCGCCCAAGGTTTCGTCTTCTATATCTTCATCGTGAGAATTGAACGGCTCTTCTTGATCGATAAAGTCACAATGCCTTACTGCCATGATAGCCGACAAACAAGGCGGTGATCTTCTAGGTGGCTGAGGATGTAGAATAGTTGGAACGATTGCTTCCTCGACTTCAGGTCCCTTCACAACGATCTTCACGCTTCCTTCCACCGAGGAAGATTTCGAAACTCTGCGTTTTTCGCCATTCATTCTTTTATCACTGTTCGAATCTATACTATAATCTCGATCGTTACCAAAATAAGTCACCTGCTCTCCTTTGATCACACTCTGAGACATGTTGGAGCCCGCGTTCGACACAGAAATCTTGATATCCGTTTGATGATCTCTCTTTAAAACCTTGTCGTAAATGTAAGTGTCGGAATTGTTCAAAGAAACTTTCGAATCGGTTCTATGTAACTTAATTTTCGAAGAATTTTCGTTATAAAAATTCGGACTCGCGTGATCTATTCGATTCTGTTCCCGGTTTTTATCCCCGATCTCTTCTTCCGCATCCTTCACGATAATCCTCAGTTCTTCGATCACGTCATCGATCGTGGTTTCCTGATCATTATCCGGAGACACGTTTACTTTTTGATTCGTTCGAGATTGATGCTTCGTATTCTCCGGGCTACTCGATCTCTCCGACGAGCTGATGCCCTCGTCTTCCGCGTTCGAGGACATTTTCGGCGACTGTTTCGTCAACTTCTCACGCTCCTCTAGGTTATTATAATTGTTCAACTTCTCCAACTGCATTTGTTGAAGCTGCGTTTGCAGAGCCGAAACCTTTTTGCTCAGTATCCTACAAGTTTCCTCGGCACGTACGACACGTCGCTGTAGGGCGTCCACGTCCACGCAGTTGTGCGACCATTTCTGAACCTCCTTATGTAGAAGATCGTTCAAAGTATCCTCTTCCCTGCCGTCCAATTCTTTCAGCCATTCTTGAAGGACCTGCGGCTCTAGACCAGCTTCGCAGGCTTCGGCCTGCATGGCGAACAAAGCGAGCATTAACTCGTCGTAAAAATCATCGAGGAGATAACGATAAATATTCCATATATAGTTACACGTTACCTGAATGTATAATCTGGTTTGTGTTCGCGGTGCAGACTTTAGGAAGGCGTTAAGGAACGAAACTCCTGCCACTCTCAGTGCAATCGCTGCTCTGGGAGCCAAGAGAGCGCCAGCCAGGAAACGAAATCTTCCACCTTCGCCATATTTTAACCTAAGGGTGGAGACAGCTTCCGAAACTACCGCGTGACCACCTGGCGTTTGACATACCTTGGTCAACAACTGGAAGATGGACAAACAATTTCGAGAAAAATGTTAAATATAATACATATATATTTATTTAATTTTATATATTTTCCCGAATGAATAAAATTAGCGCCTAATTAATCGTTACGTATGATGAAAAATAAAAATTGTAGATTTTCCTAATAATATCGGTGGTCAACAATTAAATCTCACCAACAGTTCCTCCACACCGTCCGGATAAAGATCTCTTTATTCTCATTATATTCTTCCAACGCTATAAGTCCGTGATCACGTGCCGTGGAAGTAATTATCCAGTTCGGTTAGTCAACATCTGATCGTAACCGCGATGCTTGGCAAAGTGCACTTCCTCGGACGGTAGAGAATAAAAGGTAGCGAAAAAGTCTGAAGGCGTGTATGAGTTTGCAAATGAAGCTAGCCGAATAACGTTTGGATAAATGATAAAAACTGGTTCTTGACAAGTGTACGTTCTCGAAATAACGGGGCCCCGGCCATCAAGTGGACCGAGTTTGCTGGAAACGCGCGTTTACGACTATCTGAATGAGTCAGATGTAACATCTAAGAAACGTGCGCATCATCAGAAACTTGACCCACTACCATCCCCATCGAGTTTGCTTATAATTTTTCAATTCTTTTTTAATCCTACATTCCTCGAAAAGTACGATCAATTTTAATCGCGAATTAGTTGGTTACCTCATTTAATTTTAGAATTACACGCGAATTTATTTGCAGAACGATAAAAGCGATAAATCATAAAAGATTCAAAATGTAATAACTCCTATTTTATCACGAGATTAAATCGAAAGATCCGGAATGAACACAGAATAGAAACACAGAACTAATATTAATATACGATTAAAGTGTTTGTGAAATGATAACGCGAGATAGGCGAGAGAATCGTAAACCCATAAGAAACACGAAACGAGAGTAATATTCCACGTATGGTTCCAGTTCAGTTCTTTTTTGACTAACAGTATCCAAGCGATATACTCGGAACGGAAGTGACGATTGTTACCTGGAGAGCTAGGACTCGAGACCGGTTCAAGCTACTAGTCAGACAAACTGCCAGAGCAAGAAGACCGGGTTGAGCTTGCACTAGGAGCCTCGGTGCATCGGTGCATCGTTCGGTGCAGGCGGCCAGACACTCGACACAACCCAACTCGTCCAAAGCGGCTCTTCTGGTTCCTACTCTTGGGCCCGTGTGGCCGGAAGAGGGTGGTGAACTTTGGGCCAATTGGACACCGCGAAGCGTCTCGAGCAACAAGGTTATCCCATCAGCTGGCGGTGAAGCGAATTCCTGAACAAAGCTGTACAATAATTTTATTTGTGTATCTCTTTCTTTTTTCTTTTCCGATAAAATAAGATATTTAACCGAATGTGCAGAAAAATTTGTATCTATGATGCATAATTTAATTGCGAATGTATCTCCGTGCGCTCGGCCGGAAGTATCAATAACGGTACGAACATTTTTGCCTCGGATATATATTCGTTATCTACCACGTATACAGTCATACATGGTATATATAGCTCGCAGATATCCTGTCATTCGTATTTCTAATATCTTGCAATCTTTTAATCCCAATTCATTCCGAAAGTATTCCTTCGATCTTTAACAAAGTTGCATGAACTTTATGATATTAAGAAGAAAATAGATTAATAAACAATGAAAATAATTAAATTAGATGTTAAATGATAAAACGCTATACACGATTCTGAGTATCATTGCACCAATCAATCTTGCTATTTGATACTTTAACGCAGAACGAAAGTATATCGCGAAAAGTACTGTAACAGACATTGAACTGTGTAGACGCGATGGAAAAAAATATAATTACATAATTATGGGACCTTGCGATTAAAAGAAAAAGCAATCCGGTTTTATAAGCGCGCTGTTAAAGCGAGTTCCCTCGAGGTTGTCAACGGAACCATTATGAGAGTGACGGGGCAAGAACTTGATAACTATTAATGTAATAAATACGAGGAGGCGGACGAGAAAATATACTTCAATTAAATTACACGCTTTTCAAGTTATTCCAACATTATTATTAAATATAAATTTCCAAATACATTATGTAAAAGTAAATGCATCGAATGCCGTCAAATTGTCTCGTCAAATTTGTCCCCTCGATGTCGTTTTTCAACAAATTTTCGTCGTTTCGCGCATATATAAGATCGTCGATGATCAATTTTCGCAGCTTCGGGTATCGACCGGTGTCCATTATTGGTACTTTATGCTCGATTATCGTTCATCTAGAATTCTCGTTAAGATATCACTTTACGACATATCGGATTCATCGATCGTTCGATCAAGAACAGGAACGCGATGCCTCTCCACATACACAACCACGTCGAGCAGATGCGTATATACGTGCGATGGCCTTAAGGTAGACAGGTGCAAGGACGAGGAAATAGATATTACGACTGTCAAAGAGTGACGGATCTTCGAAGAGAGTTTATTTCGAAGCTACGAATCGTGTTACGTCTTCCACGAATAGATTCTCCGTAATGAACAAGATCTCTATTTCTCTGATCGTGTCACGTTAGTTTCCTTAATTATACAGCAGAGACACATGTAGCAGTAGTGCATCAGCCAGTCCATCAACTTGCTACATTTTGCAGTAGTCTGTCCGGGATCCCGTGAGAATTTCTTGCCAGAGAGAACTTTTATCACTTTCTTCTATACGGTTAAACCGTTACGTAATCGTATTACATTTGCAATGACAAAGTATACGTAAAATTCATTATTTAATATTCATTATTTTACCAAATATAAATTAAAAAAATTATGAAACTATTGAAAATTACTTAATTAGCGTTAATCTATACACGCTCAAGGCCAAGATAATATTAAATGCAAAACAACTACTTAATTGTACGTAATGTTGGATTATCGTGCATTCCGTTATCCGTGCATTGGACAAAATACGACAAAATACGACAAAATACGACAAAATAAAGATAAAAAATATAATATATAAAAATAATATTTCTTCAATATAACATTGGCCTTCGTATTTTTTTAACTAGTAACAAGATTACACGCACGTGAATGTTAATTATTTTGTCGCGATTGCGTATCTTGGTTCGAAATTAGTTACCAGAAATTTCTGGTTCAAAGTATAACTTTATTATATCAATTGTACAATGTTGTAAAAAGCAGTTTTTTGACTAAAAAGCAATCTGGAATCTGAAAATTTCATCGTGCATCGCGTTCACCTAGAGAATAAAACTGCTCTTTCATCGGACATCTACGAAAGATGATTATTCTCGAAGGAATTCCAAATCCAAAACGTAATCCCGTGTTCCAAATTTTTACCGAGGTGGCTTACGGCAAACAGTCGTAAATCATTTCGTGGCTCGCACCTACGGGATTCTAAAAGGAACCGGGCTATTCAAGAGGAGACGTCCCTCGTCTAGACGGTGATTCTATAAACACCGTATATAAGCGCCGTGTACGCTAGTTGAATGCATGCAAATGAGTATTAAAACGTTTTCTATGTACCCGTTTATGTATGTGCTCGTCGCCTATTTACCGGTGGGTAAACAACAGAGAGAGAGAAAGAGAGAGTTTTCTCGTCTAACAATAGACGCATTATGTTACCCGTCGTATTATGCATATACTACTGCCGGCTATATCGTGATACGCACGTGTGTATAAATGTACGTGCGCGAAATACACCGAGGCATTACGATTCTACGGCGCGAACACCGTGGATCGCCTTTGTTGGCCTCGCCTTAAAAATACGCGAGAGCCCCCATTTGGATACTGGAGAAAATGAAAGCTCGTGCGTGAACGAGAGTGACGGTAAAGGATATGGTAAGGAGTGGACGTGACCGCAGACCACCCTATGCATCGCTCTTATAACCCTTTAGGTCCTCAGTTACGTATCCTTTCTTTCTTCTTACCGCAACTTTTATCCTAAATACGCTTTATATCCGAAACTTGTATGCAAAATATTTAATACCTGAAAAAAAAAAAAATACGAGGATACGAAGTACAAAGTAATCAATGTCATCGTCGTGAATAAATTAAATATGATGTCTCCGAATGCTGGTATCATTTCGAGTAGTATCTCAAAAGAGTCGAAAGGAGAATTCGCGAGTTTTAAGTTATCTAATTTCATTCGTGCGTAAGTGTCAAACATAAACGATATTGCAAAATAGGAAATGAAACATTGCTTGTAAATTCCTCGATATTTTGCGCCATCGTAATTGATAAAATGCTCATCCTTTCGAGATCGTTTCTTCGATTTAGATGTAGAATACGATGAAAGATATTTTCGTGGATTTTTAGATATATACGATAATATATTCGTAGGTAATATATTTAAAGAGGATCAACAAAGAAGTTGCGTGCAACGCGAAGGAATATACGAATAGAGGTATGAAAAGGTATTCGTTTTAAAGAGAACGACTTTGTTATCGAAAACACGCTTTCTTGGAGATGTCATGCGAACCTTCGTCCAGCAATGGATGCATTATATTACACCCCGCATTATGCAGAGTACGATGTACACGTAAGAATGCCTTCGGCAGACGCGGCATGAATATCAAATGTTCCTTATTGCCTGGTGTGTGGGCACACCCTAAAATTTAAGACGATGGACGACGCCAAGCAGAAGAAAACGAAAGCCTTGTGTACCTTTGTCGCCCGACGTTTCTCTTTCACGCGATATTTTTGGACCTCTGTCCGAAGAATATTACGCAATTCATTCCCTTTTAGTTTCTTTTCCACGCGTGGTTTTTCTTTTTCTTTTTCTTTTTTTTTTTTTTTTTTTTTTATTACATCCAACAGATTTGCTAACAAATCCAGGAAATTATTTCACTTAGGAAGTTAAAAATCTCCTTCTTATTGTTATTCCAGAAACAATAACCGATGAAAGATAACGACTTACGTAACCACGACTAATTTAGAGAAACTATATACGATGAAACCATATTATGTTCATTACTTTACGAAAATTTTTCGTAACGATGCATCAATTCACGTATAAATTAAATTAAAAATATATTCTACGATGGCCACGATATTCATCGACGATGAAGGCGTCACGTCTCTGTCGTAATAGATTATCGTTTATTAACATGCACGATGCAACATCGTAAATAAAGAAGTGGATAGAATATAAAATGTCTAATCGACTCGTACAAGTACATTTCAAAGATACCTTTTTCTCGATGATTAAATGTTAACTACTTTTATGTAAATGCACTTGGACTATTAAATCGAACTCACGATTTTAAATATAACTTTTACAGCTCGATATAATATAATTTTTTTATTCAACAAGAAAGTTATTGTAACGATTTTCTCAATGAAATTTGGGTTAAACATTAGGAATGATTATTTATTCGCGAAATAAAAACAAACGGGATCTGATATCGCGTGAAAAAAAGACGACTTCCTCGTTTTCTATCAAGTAGGAAGCAGTTACGTGTTTTCTGTTACGCGAAGCGGAAGCATCGTGAAGTATCGTGGGTTCGGTGGCCGGTCGAGGCTTCTTCGACGCGGTTGATATTCCTCCACGTGGAAAAAGAATAAAACATGTGCTTTGACTCTTTTATAAGAAACACACTTTATGAATTTCACCGACCCTTTTTTCCTTTTATCTATAAAAGGCAATCATATGCTTCTAAACGAACTATAATTTGAAACGTTAATGCAACACACCCTCCATTAAGGATTATCGTGCAAAATGCAAAGCTTAGCTCCGTATAATCTCTCGAATAATAATTCAAGTATCCAAAGTGTTATCTTTATTTTTTAATAGATAACTTGGGAATCGGATAATTTGCGATTAAGAAGTTCAACTATCGATGAATATTGTTAAACAAACGAATATGAGGATGAATAGAAGCGAAGCGCGAAAAGAACGGCAGCTCGTTTCGAAGATCGAGGTTAACATCTCGTCGACCTCCTTTCATCGGGATGCAACATACAAAATTCGATGCGTGACATCTTTCACTTTGGCGCAGAAAATTCGTTTCGCGCATACAAAGAGATCAAGTTTTGTGAATGGACCAGGTAATTCTTTCGGCCACTTTTGACCGAAAGGAAGAATCTCTTTAAAGGGGGCGATGATTGACGAAACGGACTTACGACACGGAATATCAATGAAAACGAAGCCTGATTCGCATGACAAGAGACGGAGACACGCGACTCTTTACGGGATTCTTTCCAGAAACAATCGATATCATTGTTCGAGAAGAAAAAGTAATATCGCGTTCTAGGGTGCATTGGTTATCTCGAACAATTAATTTCAAATGAAGCTTATACTTAATTAGAGCAATATATTTAATTAAATCCAGTTAACGGATGATAATAACTTGCCATGCTTCGACAATTCTTTTCTTTTGTTTTCGCTTTCCTTGAGCATACGTATATATATACGTGCTCGATGCAATAACACGTAATTGAACAGTATCTGTTCATGATACAAACGTGATAAGAATGAAAGATTCGATGAAAATTCGTTCCGATAATAATAGAGAAAGGAAAGAAAGCTGTTTAATATTTTTTCATCGATTTCTTACGATTAATCGCAATTCCCATCGATTCTTTTTACATTTCGAGAAACAAAATCGCTCGTTAATCCAAATCCAAAGTCCAACTGTTCGTTTCAGATATCTCGTTGGCTTTATTTATCAAAGTTTCTTTTTTTCAAAAAAACCGCAGAAATTCTTTTTCGCCAATCTCAAAGCGATATTACAAACGTAAAAAAAAAAAAGGAAAAAAAAAAGTCATCAGCCAAGATTATTTATTCCTAACACCACGCGTTTTTTCGCTCCAGATAAAAACGCATCCACGTTCATCCACGAACGGCATGGAAGAAAAAGGTAGCCGGCCGATCGGCGTAATCGATCTCGACAGGTAATTATTACGATCGGTTTGAAAATAAATCGATTCCGTCAGCCGGGTCGTCGCCGGGCAACCGTGGATCGTTGTGAAAAACGTCTGTTAAACGGCCTAATAATAAGATCACGACGAATAACACGCAGAGGTTCGATCTTGGGAATCGAGGATGCGCCTCATCGGGATCGATTTGCGCATCGAGCACGCCGATCCAGCCGCTGTACAGTTATCCGTAATATCGGTATTCGTTTATCCGTGGCCGCTACTTACGGGTTATCTGCTCGCCTCTGCGGTAAGAAGGTTGTCCATATTATAAGTCATCCGCCGTATGTGGGACACGTTCGCGTCTTCCATATGGTCGAAGGATGAACGTGTAACGTCCGCGATCGCGCGTGTCGATAAATCGGTTTCGGGACAACGGTGATGAAAACCGTGACGTTAATAGGATCGAGTTCACGTCATATTTATTTATAACGAAGATTCGTTTCATAGACTTTTGAGAGAGAGAGAGAGAGAGAGAGAGAGAGAGAGAGAGAGAGAGAGAGAGAGAGAGAGAGAGAGAGAGNTGATTGGAATCCGTTGGTTTGAAGACACACTTGATCTCATCATTGGTGACATCACTGGTGGATTCTATAATGAAATTCTTGCAATTGTCCACATCGTCCCTCACGCGATGCGAGATAGATTGTTTGGTATGAAATAATCGCACGGTGATTCGATTTTAGAATAGCCACAGAATGGAACGCGTGTATCGCTTCTGGACGATGCAGGCATTCTTGCCTCTCTCCCCTTTTACATTGGTCGTGTGATTAGAATGATTCTCATCTGTGCACCGACCAACCTTCTTGCCGCGCTTCGAATATCCGTTGGCCGCAAATTGTGCGCCGCGAAATTGCGCTTAATAAGAGCACGTCGATCGAACAAGAATTAGAGTTGGAGAGTATTGAACGGTTCCTGGCGTTTTCGCCAGCCTACCCTTTTTTTTGCTCGACATTTTGAAACCTTGACCGTTGTACATCTCGATGCATCGTTTGGATCATTCGTAATCTCGTTTCACGATCGAAAGTTGCGCGTTCTGGGTGGTCTAGGATAGAAATAACGACGAGATCAAAGTCTATCGAGGAAAAATAGAATGAACGAAGAGTCGATGTGTTGATAGATCGATTCGAGTTGCCGAGATGATTCGATCTCGTGGAATTTGATGCGGATCTAGATAACGAAAAGCACAGAAATCGTAACAGTATAGATATGAAATATATCCACCTTTCTCTCTCTTTTATTTCACGAATCGAAACGTCGAGTTTGAGCAATTTTTTAGGCGAACTTTTTAGTGAAAGGAACCGCTCGAAATTTTATCTTCGAAGCGAGAAAATTTCCGATGTATTTGCTTTTTGATTCCAATCGAGAACGTATAGAAGCCTCGAGATAAACTCAATTACAGACGCGTGTCCAGCGGCTGTGATTACACGCGTTATGAATGAAATACTAGCGTACACGCTTCGAGCGATCCGAGACAAACATCGTCGATCTTGCACCAAGATACAAGCCACCGACATTCACGGACAAATTTTAGCGTTTACGTCCGATCTTTAATCACGCTGGCGCCTAACGGAGACCACACTATTATTTAGCCGTACGTTGAACGCGAGGAGGGGCTTGATCCAGCTGTAATTTCAGCGTTGTCTTAGAAATACGGGATGGAACCCGTTCCTTTGTACCGAGTAATGCAGCAAAAAACCGACATATCACAGGAAACCGAGGATGCCTTTTTCTTCTTTTCTTTGTTCAACGATTTACACACGGACGAGAAATGACAGATGGATGGTCTCCGCGTCTAATCCGCGTATGGTTAATTTAATCTTCGCGGTAAATGAAATACGATAGTAGAAAGGGTGTATTTAACAGCAAAGATGATAAATAATAATATCGCGTAGATAAGGGAATTCTTTCTTCGCGCGACGAGCAAAGAAAGTAATGTTTAATTCATTACGCGCAGATGTTAAATTTTCATTAGCATTCTATTAATTTATTTTTAATAGAAATTAAAAAACCAAAGAAGAGAAAACTTGCCGTATAATGAAAGTACGACGGGATCAACAAACGTATCTTTTCCCTGAGAAGAGAAAAGATTTAACGATCGTCGTTTAATCGGGAGTTGAATCAAGAAGGAATTTTTACGAGTTTCGAGAAAGGGACTCGAGCATATCGAAACCCGTCTTCTTTCTTAAAAAATACGTATAAAAAGTAACTGTAAATCCGACACCGTTCAAGCCGTTCCTCCCGTTCAACTAATATCGACTGTTTTTCGTGATAAACTTGTCGTTAGTTCCACCGAACGAGCATAAATTCATACATTCACTGTTCTAATTATTATTCACGGACAATCGAATGCATCTGCTTCCGGGGATTGTGTTTCATCTTTTAGAAATATTCGAAAGTGATGCGCTTTTTATTAATACCTCCTCCATCAATTTTCAAATGAAATTTTTTCAAAGACCGCGTTAAAAAGTTGTTTCGACTTTACTTATTTTCACGAATTATAATTTTATTATTATATTAATTAAAGAACGTTGATCGCTAATCGATGAATATTTTAATATTTTGATATTACTTTGATGACACGAGCGGACGAAGATGACTTTTAGATAGGCAAAGTAGGATAATCAAGATCGGTCGAGGTTTCGCGTAATTTGCAATGATAATGAGGCGCTCGATTAATTTAAGTCAGGTGGCAGCGAGGACTTAAGAGGCGAACCAGAGGGTATATTTGAAGCGATGGTAATAGATAGGCGTGATTGTTTAATAGTATATATATATATATATGTGTGTGTGTGTGTGTATATATACCTACCTTGGAAAGGCTAGCCTGAGGTCGGCTCTGAGCTTGTTCAGAAGCTCGCTAACCGAGGTGAATTGTCTCAAGGTCATCTCTCCGCTTCCGGAAGCGTAACCGGAACTCGAACTGGTTGTCGACGGCAGGGTACCCTGCGAGTCTTGAACACTTCCTAATGGACGTCTTCCCCATCGTCTCAGAGCGATCGCGTAGTCCTCGGCGTTGTACGTAGGTGGTCTTAATCGTTCCTGCAAAGAAAATCGCAAGGCTCTAGACATAATTGCACGCTCGTCCGGTTCGATATCGAGGCAAAAGGCAGCCGTGATCGAAGAAAGAAAGAAAGAAAGAAAGAAAGAAAGAAAGAAAGAAAGAAAGACGGTAGCCTCGTCTGATTTATCCCTTTGAGATCTCTTCGAGCAAAATACACCGCGCCGAGACAGTGGCCGTAATTAAACGACCGGCGATTCGACTACCTACCGCTTCTCAATAATCGGGATAATACGATATTAAGTAACGATAAACATTTTCAAGTAGAAATTAAGAGTGTGGAAGATTGAACAGCGGCCAACCATTCTATCCCATCATTTATTTTTCCACGGGACTGAAACGAATCGAGAAATCATGGAAATTGCAGTCGCGTTTTGCCGCGAATGAAATATTCATGCGAGGGAGTAGAAGGCTGAAAGACCGAAGTTAATTTCACAGCGTTTCCAATCATAAATATGGATAGAATTATAGCGATTATCGCCTCGTGGTCCATAGAAGAACGCCGCCGATTATCCCCGTTGAAACGCGGATAAATCGTGGAAATTAATTTACCGCCTCCATCTCGTGCCACTGATGAAACATAGAACCGGTATAATTAAGTCTCCAAAGGGGTTAAAACTCGTATCTCTTTCCGATTCCCTTCGATAACTCTTCGAATAGTTGGCTCGATCAGCACAGAATCGAGGATATAGGAATAATTTATCGGTCGATTTGTTTCGAAGGTCGTATAGCCGCTTTCTAAAACGACCATTTCAAGAATACCACGAATATTTGACGCGGATGAAACCACATGCTACATTGTGGTTTCCTTCGCGCGGTTAATCGATCGGTCTTAAACGTGAAACCGAGTTTCTATCTCGCGGTTACCCGCCGTTCTTCCTTCACACGTGAAAAAAAAAAAAAAAAGAAAAATAAGCAGAACCGCCTCTCTACCGATCCCAGAGTTCCGTAGGAAATCTGTTGCGCATCGGATGTACGATTTATTCAGACGTGCACGCGATGCTCCGAGTGGAGAACAGTCGCGATCAATCATCATCCTCGTTTGTTACTGAAATCGACGGAGGATGGTGACGGACCATTATCGTTTGATGAATACAGGGCTGGCTGTTAACGATGTATTCTTTCCTTCTTTTCTTTTCTTTTCTTTTCTTTTTTTTTTCTTTTGAAAAACGACAAAGTAATTAGAGTTCCTTTCCGGGATGCGATACCGCGCGGACATGGACGTAAATCGTCTAACGACGATCATGATTGAGTGGAGGGGTGCATAGATCAATCATATTTTCATTTTTTCCGTCCGTGAACGTGAAACGGGATCTCGGGGGAAGGAAATGAGGTTATGAGAGGCGAAGAAGGACCTGGTCGTAAGCGTATGCAATTATACGAGTAATTAGGCAGCATGTCCCGCCAAAAGAACGATAACGTTACTCCGAATCTTATACTTATACTTGACGATCTTGCGAAGGATTCGTGCGAAACAAAACAAAATCACGCGTAACCTACATATACGAGGACGTCACGCTTTCTTGAATCGCGTAAATACTCGGTGAATACTTGTCGATACTTTCGTGTCGTTTATTTGACAATAATTGAACCGGTTATTGAAAAAAAAAAAAAAGAAAGAAAGAAAGAAAAAAAAGCGCTCACGGATGGAGAAGCGCGAATGGAGAACGCTGCATTTTCGAATATGCATCGCTCGATCTAATTTCAAACGCGCGCCTTTTTCCTCGCGTTCTTTTCAATTATCAATTAGAGTGAAAAGTTCGAATGTTGGTAAAAGTTGCGCGACTTTCACGAACATTCGAGTACGGTTTCCAATGGGTGTTTAACCATGGAGGTTTGTTAATCATCCTATTGTGATGACGTAAATCTCTCATTAGCGGGAGAACGTTATTTCTTTTTCATAATATCAAGAAAAGAGATGCAACGGAATCTCTTCCGATAATTAAGGTCAGGAGTCATTCGTAACACGTATGGCATAAATCTCGTAAGATAAGAGTTGTTTTTCTTTTTTTTTTCTTTTTCTTTTTTACGCAATGTCATTCATTTCGTCCGATCTTTGAAGAAAAAAAAGAGAAGTCACAGGCGTCTTGAATTATCTTCGTTAATCACGTTGCATAAAAATAACGATTTAACTGGAGTGTAAATATGCGCACCTCGAGGGGGGTTAACGCGATATATCGCGGTCTCTCCTCGATATTAATCATATTATCCATGACTTATTACCTCCCTCGCAGTTTCGCGACGCGTATAAATGCCCGTGAAGCCATTATCAACTGCAGAATTCAATGCATCCGAGTTGGCGCAAGCTAATGCGTGGCTGAATATTAAAAGCGTAGCTCGGTCAAGTACAAAGTGCATCTAGCATTCAAACGGTCGACACTTTGACAAAATCGTGTTTTATTAACGAGCAAATTGGATGGTACGCGATGCGTTCTATTTATCAGAGAAATGCGCGCGACATGTATTCATGGAACCGTTCGGATCTGTAGTGGATCGTGTCATTTATCTCGAAAGGAAATCGCGTTCGCGTTAAATAAATCGGTGCTCGTTTTTCTTTCCAGATGAAATTCCGCAATACCAAGAATCCGTTTGAAACTGAATTCCATCCAATTACGACTCGATGATCCCCGTTGTCTCCTTCCTCGTCGGATTCCTCTCTCGATAAATGTTCCAACATCCTCTCTGTACCAGATCGATAATTACGCAAGACCGCGATACACGCATGATACAGCTATTTGCATTTGGTTGTTACGATAAATAGATCGGAATCGTAAAGATTATGACGGAAAACGAGCTTAACTACCCGTAATTTCGTTCCTTTAACACATCTCTCTCTCGTTTAACGAACATCCGAGCACGACGCGGCATTCTCACGGCGTCGTAAAGACGAAACGAGCGACGAGCCACGTACGCCCCATGTACGCCTGCTTGTAACTACGCAACTCTATTTACCGAGCGAACGTTAAAAGATAGGCCGATCAAATGCATCCTGCTAATACTCCAACATCACTGTCATATCACTGTCCAAGTTTTAAACGATTAGGTTCGAATCTTGGTCGGGTTAATCCGGGCGCTCGATCGAGCGCCGAGGCACACTGACATACCTTTTCCGGTTGAGGCCCCCACGGCTTCACCACCAACAACTCCTCCTCCGCGTTCGGAGCCATGTCCGTCTCACTGGAACAGATAAAAAAAGAGCAACGATTTTTAGCCATCAACTCGAGTCTAGACAGGTAGTTGTCGGTATATTATACGAGCAACACGACCAACATTCGCCAAGGGTAACGATCTTTGAAATGGTGCTTTGAACCCTACTCCAACTCGTTCGCCTCCTCCTCTCGACTCGTCTCGTTTCCATCGTCTCTCCCTAGCTCTAGTTGCCTCTCTAGTTACGGTTAATTGGGAATTCGTATCCGGTGTCAAGTGGATCGTCTATCGTACGGAACGAGTCCTTCGAAGAATTTTCATCCGAATGAAATTCTCGAACGGTATCTCGTTCCCCGTGCTCGCTTCGCTCCGCCTGTGAAGGAGCGAACGAGAACAGGTAGAGAGAATTTCGTTTCGATCACATTTGTATCGCGTCCGGGCTAAACTTCCGTTCCGCTAGATCGTACCGGATTATTTACGGTTCACGGATGCTGCCGATGCAATTTATTGTGGGAAGTGGTTGAGGCTATTACGAGGAAATTCTTATCTATCGCGTCCCCGCTCCGTCCGTCCTGCCCGAGCAGCTCCCTTAAACACTGCCAATTAAACCTAACGAGTTTACAATAACAATTTTATTAATTAATGACTTTCGCGCCTCGTTAATTCGCGGGTTGATTAGAACGGGGGAGAGGAGGATCATTAAATCATCACGTGTTGTTGCGATGGAATATTCATGTTGTTCCTGGGTATAGGATAGGCTAGGCTAACGAATCTCTTCTACCATTTACTACGTGTCTATGATCCACACAATTTGTCACAATTTGGCAGAAATTGAAACATTTCATACGATATAGTTATTTCAAAATAATTGACGCTATTAACTTACATATATATATATAACGTATATAACATAATCACAGAAACGGACGAAAAATTTATGTCTTTAGTGGTCGCAAATAGTACCAGCATCATTTCCGATGCTGTTGCAACATTCGTGCAACACACGAGCATACTAATTTCAGATGTAAACGTCTCTCTTACGACGTGATGATGAAGCAACAAACCTTGGATACCCTAGAATTTTCTCCGAAAATAAACTCGTCGGGGCTATTGATCGCGAGACGGTTAATCGACGGTGGTTGAAATTTAATAGATCGAAGTAATTTACGATCGACCCGGATAATATGGCGATAATATCTAACACGCGCAACCTGTTATTCGGATAATCTTTCGCCCCGAACGAAACGGTGGATCGATGTTTCATGGTTGGACGCGATACGACGCGATTCCGCTCGGGCGGATGACGGGCAAGAGCGAGGACACAGAACGCGGATCACTCGGTTTTGTGGGTTAGCCACGATAATAATAGGAGTCACGATCACCACGGTCACGAACCGGCGTACGATCGTGTATCGAGCGATCGAAAGAGGGTTGCCACTTCTTCTCGATCTCGCTCGCTGGATCAAGAGAATATACCGGTAATATCGGTCGAGACCGTGTCCTGATCCGGATCGTGTTATGTCGGGTTGGCTGGAATCGTGCCTATTCAGGTAATTCCATCCGTAAGTATATGGCCTATCGGATGATATAAGTTATTGTAATTCCCCCGATTGAAATTGGTTTTTGATCGCTCAACGATCGATACATTGTTTCGAAAATTTCTAACTCTCTCCGTCTGGATCGAAGAGGGTTGTGGATGTTTGGGAACGAGCGCGTAAAGAAGAGGAAACGATTCGATGGAAATATAATAAGACGTTGAACCGCGATTACTTTGATTTAGATAGGTTCGTCGCACTCGAAGTCTCTCCTTTTGAGAGAGAATTTGAAATTAGCCTCGATGCTGGATACCGATTGTAATGGTAAGTACAAGTATTTTCCAGCGTATCAATTAATTCAAGGCATAATTAATCCAGTTTAACGCGCAACAGGAACGGAGCATCGGACCATAAACTGTTGATAATGAAGCGAAACGTAGAATCGCAAATCCCGACCAGTTTCACGTTCGGTGAACCAGTAATTCTCGGTGAAATATCTTCGACATCCTTCTTCTTACAATTAATACTTATTGCCGTTACTGCGTTAACACGTGTGCGACAACGCGCGTTACGAATATGGAGCGTGCACGAGATTCAATTAAGCATCCAATCATTTGATGATAATTATCGCGCATTAAAATATTATGGCAGAGATATAATACGTTTAAAATGTGCACTGTATAAGAGCACTATAAACTTGCTCGAGAAGAGCAACTCCAGTAAATCCAACTTTAAGACGCTCGTGCCATTAAGGAACGCCATTTTACTACTTACTGCACGGGAATGGTTCTCACCCCGGAAAACAAACGCACGAGTCTCGATCTAATCCACCGATCTAATCTCCTCCGTTAAACGTCTCTAATATAGTCCTATGAATCTCTGAAATCTTTGAAATGATCTCAATTTATATCCACTCCGAACCACTTAATACATCCCTCTCCAACATATACGGGTACAGCATTTCCAGATTTCGATCTGAAAGACGCTGTCACTGTCGTTTTCTAGCCAACCGAAAGAAAAATCTTTCCCTCTCGATCGAGATATCGGCGAAAGAAGAAAAACGTCGAAAGAAAGAACGCACGCGTTCGACTCGCGTAATAAAAATTCTGCCGCCGCTCAACCGTCGGCTCAACGAATCGTAGATTTGATTTGCGGAGGCCGCGCGGAGGGGCGAGCGCTGTCAACGAATGGCGGCGGATCGAATCCGACCGAGGTCATCATCATTAATCTTGAAAAACGTTGTTTCACCGGGCCCCACGGTTCCTCGCGTGTCAAAGGGGGCCGCCTCGCGGAAACGTCGGAGCGCGTAGTTGCGAACGCGTGCTCGTCAGCTCGCCGATCTTGAGCGGTTGGTACGTATAGCATAACGTAGTAGCGAAGGTAGCCACAGGAGTAGGTAGATAGTTACTCGAGGAGGACAGCCGAGGCATTGACCCGCGCGCGAGTGGTTAGTCACACGCATACGCACGCACTTTTGCACGCTTACTCGCGCGCTTGCTACGCAGTCACCAAGGAATTCCACCTTTACCGCCAGGATTCTCTGGGGAGAAGTTGCCTAGATGGAAAATTGGAGAAAGTAGCGATGACGGGGGATCGAGTGGCAAGGATTGGACGCAACGAGGATCAATGGCACTCGGGTTGAACAGGGCCAAGTTCATATCGATCGATGCCAGTTCGACGAGAGTTCGCGTGTTTCTGGAACACGGCTTGGAAATCGTGTCTTGGAATAACTGTAGCTGAATTTTTCAACAGGTATTTTTTACTTCTTGGGAGTTGAACTTGAAAACTTTCGAGATCCTTTCAACTTTTGAATTCGATTAATTTGAACGAGATTTACTGTCAATAGGTTTTATTATTGGATACTGCATTCTCAACACAGTGATAAATGATCGATATCGAATCTTGTGCAATTGTGAAACGGTGATGCAGCTTGATTTATACATCAACCTTCGCAATTTTGTATCTTGCTAACCTTTTCAACGACAGAATCGGTAAAATAAAAGGAACGAAACGTTGACTGGTTTAAAACGTTGGTCGCAATTTTCTTGCAGCGAGAATTCCTAGCATTTTAATTCCTCGAAAATTGCAAACACCAATCGCTCCGTTATTGTGAAAACGCTACGCCTATTTCGCTGTGTGGAATAGTCGCGTGCACCGTACGAGAGCGCACGTTTCGCCCGTGAATAGGTAATGCAATGCTCGAACAGGCGCCATGACTCGTCGGAGCCGGTGTCCTCGTAGGCTTTGCCGTCGATTCGCACCGCGAAAAATTCACCGATCGTCGATCCCCCGTCGCCGATCTTCTTATTAGCGGAATATGCGAGAATGTGGAATTTCTCCTGTTCCATGACCTATGTCGCGCTCTCGTCTTTATGACGCGATAATACGCGTTTCGTTTCGCGTCGATTTTATTCCAACCGTGTGTGAATAAAATTCTCGATCCTTCTGTCCATTCGTTTCCTCTTTATTTCAAAAAAGTTCGACGTAATATTGGCAAAATTCCTCTTTTTTTCTCCCGACGACGATATTTTCTCTCGCGAGGAAAAAGACAAAGGATTGTTCCTTTAAATTACTCGGTAAAATGAAATCTATGAACGTACGGTGGTTGTGTTCTCCGCAGCTATTACGACGAAGGTCGCACGAACTGGGGAAGTACAGTTGAATCCATAGAGGAGAGCACATTGTAAGCATCACGGTACTCGTAATGCTTCCCGTCGGCTGTTTGCTCGAGGTATCGGTTATCTCGAGCCAGGAAGAACGAAGAGAGAGGGAGGGAGAGAGGGGGAGAAAGAGAGAGAAAGAGAGAGAGGACGGTTGACGGTGGAAGAGAACCGCGATCGGCCAAAGAGGCGCCACGACTCGATGCGGTTACCTTTATCCGCTTCGAATCCTGCGGAAAAATCACGTCGATCGAGACTTCGGATCGTCGATCTTGACGACCATTAGCGGACTACACGAGAATCCAGGTAAGATTTTTCCATCATGGCTTCTCCCTCCAAACGGTGGAATGCTAACCGATGCCCGGAAGTGTAGTCGATCTTCCATACCTGAGCCACCGAGAAAGAAGTCAATTCGCATTCCCGACTTCATCCGGTGGAAAAACTTTGCTTATTTACAGAGGCGCTTTTGTAAAATTGACTGTCTTCTTGCGTAACACACCTTCTTCCTACTTCCTTTTTTACTTCTTTTTTATTCCAACGTCTACAAGACGTTCGTGAGAGGCAATTCGTAGCCAATTAACGGGCTCCATTCGATGCTAATTCGATGCGGTGTTAATAACCGGATAAGATGTGTCGAAATATCTAGAGATTTGTTTCTCTCGTCGTGTAGAAACGAGCTTCAAACGGTTTCAGATCGGTTTCGATGTATCGCTATTGTTCTTTCGATCGTTCGATCGACTCGACTCGATTCCAGGTTTTAAAATCGTGACTGCGCGAACGATGCTTTTAACTGTGAACAGAAATCGATTCCGAGGGATAATATAGAGAAATGTGA